TGACCTAATTTGAAAACCACGTTGCTCCACAGCCAATACCTCACCTCTCACTGGAATCAAGTGGGACCATAAAAAAACACATAATAATAAAATAATTTTTATTACATATATAATATATATATATATATTATTTATTATTAAAATTAAAAAAATTTTTTACTTTAAAAATTAAATCTCAATAACAAATTAAATTCAATAAAAACCAAATATTAATTACTCTTTTATTAATACAAGTAGTAGCAATAAATAAAAAATTAATATTTAACTATTGTATTCTATATATAAGAGATATTGTTTTTTATTAAAATATCTTTTTTAAATTCAACTAGCCAAGCCTTGCCTAACATAATATTTAAGCTTATAATATTACGTATTTACAATAATTTTTTTTTTTGAAGCATAATGCGCAAAACCTGTGATCCATGCAAACATAATCGCATTATCCTGCCATTACTCTATAATTGAATGTAACACATTTGTGTATGAGTTTTATAGAATCTGGCAAAACAAAAAGCCAATCAATATTATTTGTTTAAAACCAAAAACGTCGTGTAACAAACGAAAATAAACCAAGGCATTGGGTTTTCGAGAATTTCTAATTTAAAGCCAAGAATTGTAATACATCAACGACCGGTAAAAAATTGGCTTAACTTGATTTTCGAATATGGAGAATAATAATTTAGAACATGGATCTTAGAAGAAGTATGGGATAGAGCCTTTTTGATACGAACGATAACATCGATTTCCTCGCGTTCAGAAAGTGCAAACGTGTACGCAGTAAAAGATTATGTAAAGCTATTTATGATGTGTAACTAGGCATCTTTCATTGATAAATGCTTGATTACCCGAAAAACCAACGATAATGTAAAAGCAACTGCCCCAAATTTGAAGTTGCGTCTTTGTTCGACAAGCAGGATCCGCAGGGTTACAGAGCGGCACGTCATCGGAAATCAGGTTTTATTGTAGTGCACGTATCCATTCCCCAAAAGAAAAAAAAACAAATTTAACGAGCGTTTGGAACCAAAAAAATACTCACCCTCCGTTTCTCTTCCTCACTAACACTCCGTTTCCTCTATATCCTTTTTTCCTTCTACCCCTTATCTATAATTATAAAAAAAAAAAAAAAAAAAAAAAAAAAAAAAAAAAAATATACTTAACCCGATCTTTCCAATAATTTTCTACTTCTCTTTTTTGTTATTTGACCTTGCGACCACAAATATATGTTATATATTCATAATTAAAACGAAGTAAAATTTTCTCCTTGTTACTAACGACCTCTTATTCAAGTTCAAACACATTTTTTACAATAATAACCTATAAACTCGCTTATCCTATCTATTTTCTATATTGTAGGGAAATAGTTTAAAAGGTATGCTGCGCGTAATATGTTTTTTTTCTTGCATAATAGATAAAACATAATTAAGATGTAATAATTTTTACCGAATATAGTCAACCCAACGAGCTTAACGACGTTTTTGCAAAATGGCCAATGATCTCAATAACCGCGGAGGTCTGCCAGAACAGCCTGATTTGAATGGCATTAATACAACCGCACCAACGGTCGTTGCCATTTCAAATAGTGGTGCTAGCACGACTTCGTCCGCTTCTCCTACTACCGCCCCCACGACTTCACATTCGCTTTTCGAGCACAACGCTCCTTTCCTCCATTCCAACGATCAGGTTGGTTCCACTGAAAACATTAATTCCGAAGAAGAAAATAAAGAGGAGATTATTGCAGAAGAGCCGAGCGATGTTTCTGGATCTCAACTTACCCTTAGAGCGCTGGTAACTACTAAAGAAGCTGGCGTTATTATCGGAAAGGCTGGTAAGAATGTTGCCGAACTCAGAGAAACCACTGGTGTCAAGGCTGGCGTTTCCAAAGTCGTGCAAGGCGTTCATGATAGAGTTTTATCCGTCGCGGGTACTCTAGAAGGAGTGTCAAAGGTATGATGATCTAATTTCTTCATTGCTTTTTTGTCGAGTCTCCACTTCATGGCTTGAAAGAAGCGAATTACTATTTCATGCATTTCGACGTTTTAGTCATGAATGGTAATTGCGCATATAGTATATGCATCACATATGCGCTCAAGTATTTCATGTTTGTATTATGCTTACTACAATCTTTTTATTGTATAATGATAAAAGGCATACTCTTTGATTGCACAAACACTCCTTGAGAATCCTGTGAATGCAAGTCCAAGTTCTACTCCAATTACTCCACCACCAAATGCATTTACTTCTATCCGTTTGCTCATATCTCATAATTTAATGGGGACTATTATCGGCCGTCAAGGACTTAAAATTAAACACATCCAAGATACATCTGGAGCTAGGATGGTTGCATCAAAGGAAATGTTGCCCCAAAGTACCGAAAGAGTTGTAGAAGTTCAAGGAACTGTCGAGGCAATTCGTGTCGCTGTATGGGAAATCGGTAAATGCTTGATTGAAGACAATGAACGCGGCATTGGTACCGTATTATACAACCCTGCTATTCGCGTTACTTCAAGTTACTCGACTTCACGACGTAGCGATTACACTACCCGTACTGGCAATGGAACAGATTTCACTCGTCCATCTCGTAACAACACAAATAACACCAACGGTAGCAGTGAATATCCTACTAGTCGCCGTCAATCAAGCACCAGTAATAACTATGATCCTGCCAATGTTCGTATTCAAAATATTTCCATTCCTGCCGATATGGTTGGTTGTATAATTGGAAAGGGAGGATCGAAAATTTCCGAAATTCGTAGGCTCTCTGGTTCTCGTATTAGTATTGCCAAGACTCCGCACGATGAAACTGGAGAACGTATGTTCACAATTAATGGAACGCCTGAATCCAATGAAAAGGCACTGTTTTTATTATATAATCAGCTCGAAAATGAAAAAGAACGTCGCTTAAATGCATCTGCCAACGGCGGGGATTCAGACGCATAGATTATTGGGTACCTTATTTATTAAATCATGTCGGTACGTCACTAGGCTGGTGGATGAATTCCTAACAAAACGTGGCAGCAAGAGAAGTAAAATGTATGTGAAATGTATGGGTGTATACTGGTGTATCATGTATGTATATATTACTAGGATTGCATCCACACAGATTTCGCATTCCTTCGAACATTAGAATTATTATTATATGAGGTAAATTCAACAAAATTTTAACGTATCATAGTCCATTCCTCCTACAACCTCCCAAAAGAGAAATTGTGTACAACCTTGTGCATTTTTTTTTTTGTCTTCTCCCCTGTCTTTCATCCTTCCGTCTTCTGAATAATTTAAAACTCATGAAATCCGAAGTAGCAAAGACTAAATTTTTCATCTTTTCTTTATTTCCAAACTATATATCTTCGCTTGTTCTTAATCATCTTCAAACCTTTTATCCTCGTAACCTTTCATCTTCATAGAATGAACGTATGTAAACAGAAAATTAAATTCAAATGAAAAAAAAATAAGAAAAAAATTTTGAAAAACTGTAAATAATGCCTTTAATTTTATTTGAATGTTTCAATTTGACAAAAAAGAAATTTAATAATGTTACGCGCACCACGTGTGCTATTAGGTAATTGGATGAAATTTTTACCAAAATTGTATAACATCATTATTTTATTGATAATGTTATTATATAAATTTGTTTATTTTATAAATTACAGTATAATAATTTAATATATACAGTATATGCATAAAATTTTTTAAAACATTTCCTTTTCTAGTAAATATTTTTATTATAATAAAGTATTAATTAATAGTATTATATTGTATTTGTTACTTATTGAACTCTTCTATATACAAACAGAAATAGATCAAGGTGACACAATATTACCTTTGCTTTGGTACATTTATTATAACCAGCAATTGAAAAGATAGAAAGCTCAAAACTGAGTTACATCATGGATATTAAAGCATCAATTACATGTTTTAGACAATAAAACAGAGAAAAAATACATATATCCCTTGTCTCATATATAGATAAGAATCTTAATAATTCAATTTGATTTTTGATTTTAGGTTTATATTAAATTTATATATAGGTTATAACCCACCATCATTTTTAATAGTATTTCAAATCTTATACAAGTCTATGCAAGTTTGTTTGATTCCAATTTTCAGAACCATATATATAAATAATATAACATGATTTATAAATTCTAAAAAAAAAAAAATACAATACATTTTAAACTATAATATATATGTGACTAAAATTATTTTACAATTAACTTAATTATTTAAAATTTTTATGTCACAATTAATATGCTACAAGTTATAAATTAATATGATATAATTATATGATTTAATGCAATTATTAATTTGTTACAATTAAATTAATATAATAATACAATTATATGATTTGTTACAATTATTAAATTTATTGCAATTATTAATTAATCAAATTTTTTTTTAAAAAAAAAGAAAATAATAAATTAATTATTTTTCTATCTATCCATCCATTCAAAATACAAAGTGGTAACTATTATATATATGTTTGCATTCCAATGGAACTATTCCAATATGATATTGTATTAATATTTACAAATATAATAAAAAATATTAAAAAGCAATATTAGTTGAAAATTATAATTAAATAGTAATCATAATAAAATTAGAAATTATAATTAAATTAGAAATTATAATAAAATTAGAAATCATAATTAAATTAAAAATCATAATTAAATTAAAAATTATAAATAAAATTAAAAATCATAACTATATAAAACAAGTGTTACATAAAAATATTTATAATTATTTGTTTTACAATTTTATATATTACAAGATATTTAGTAAAATAGAATTAAATCTTGAAACCAATACATTATTCTTAAGTTTCTCTTTAGTTAACAAAAATATTTCTGATACAAAATTATAATCAGAATTAAAAAAAAGAACAATATAATAATATTTTGAACTTATTAATTTAAAAAATAATAGGCATCTAAGATGCAAGTGCAAATACTGCAACTGGATAAAAAAACTGGCAAACTTAATTTAATAAAAGTATATTTAGCAATTAACTGTTATAAAGTATTCAAGAAAATAAAAAATATTTATTTAAATTTGATAAATAATAAAAATGGACTCAATATTAACAAATAATAAACAAAAAAACAAAAACTTAATATTAGTAATAAAAAAAATTAACAATTTTTATCAGCCTGTAACAATTAATTTTAAAATAGTAAAATTGGCAAACGGAGCTTTAATAAAATTTTTTGTTTATTATAGAATTTTATTTTCAATTATTTACTATCTATTTTTCATAATTTTATTCATATTTTGCATTTTAATTATATATTATTTTGGTAAACTGAACTATTTCAAGAATACTTGATGAAAAGTTAATCAAAGTTTTACTTAACATCAAACAAAAATCAAAATATGAAGCCAATTTAATATTAAGTATATTTAATATTTGATAATATATGGTTTTATTGCTATTTTTATATTAATAGTTTTATAATTTTATAATCTATAGGACTTAATAGCTAAATTAGTCTAATTGGATAGTTTATATATATATTTATTATAATAACTTACTTAAGAAAAGATTATATTTATGTTTTAAAAAATATGTCACTTTTTTTATACAATACTGATTTTTTTGAAAATAAAATAATTGAAATTTTAGAAAATATTGAATTAACTAAAATCAGTACTATTGTTATCAATACTACTAGTGTTTTGGTTATAGTTAAAAAAAATTATTGAAAAATATTCACATATTGTTCATTTACAATATATTACATATTATATCAATTTAATAGTAGCAGATATTGCAAAAACAATTTTTGCCAAAAACATTTTAGAAAAATATATCAAGATTATAAAATTTTTTAAAAAAACTTATTAAGTAGGAGATTATTTACAAGAAGAATTATTAATGAATTAGTTGTTGGAGAAAATTTAAAAAATATAATAATCTTTAGCATTTGATAATACTGATTCAATATTATGACTAGAAACTTGTTTTTGAAATATAAGTATTTACAAATTTGTAATTTGTTAATATTTTTACAAATATTTATTAATATTATTTATTTAGATATTGACAAACACATAAAATTTTAAACAAAAATATTATAAAAATTCTTTATAATCAACAATTTTTAAAGATTTAGAAGAATTAAATCAAGTTTTTATGCTGATTAAAAAAGTATACAAAACCATTAAAAAAAAAAATACAAATCTGATTAATTGTTTTTTTTAACTTGTTCAGTTAATAATAAAAATTTGAAATTTGCCTAATAATCTCAATCAAGATTTTTATCAAAAATATATTTCAATTTTTAACAAACAATAGCAATAATTTGATATCAAATTATATATTTTGGCATATTTTTTGCATTCATAATATCAAGATTAATGTTTTTTATTTAAATATATTTATATATTGTAAATTAATATTTATACTGATTTATTATATAGGTAGGGCTCCTAACAATACCATTTTGATATCACTTTGATACTTAAATTTACTATAAAAACATATGAGTAGATCACAACCCATATATT